TAAATATGTTGTAACTTCGGGACTTAGTGAAAATGCGTTTGCTCTTAATCACAAAATAACTTTTTGACTTTACAAAGAAGTCACTAAGAACTAACTAATAAATGCAGCACAAAACTTTAAAAACATTTAAAAAGTTCTATATTTAAATAACATAACCTAACCATTAATAATATATTAATAACTACAATATTAATAATAATAACTTAAAACTACACAGTAAGATTAGTTTAATTACTACAAATTATCATGTTTGAAGTCAGTAATGATATCATAGGAAGCAACTTCAAAAACAATCATTCTATTCACATGAGTGGACAAACAAGTCTATTACACAGCCATTAAAGAATATCACTGCTATGTTATATAGACCACCCAGAGTGAGAATTGCAAAGTGCTACTGATTATTTAAGTCATTTACTTTTGCAGATTTTAGAACAAGTTCAGCAGAGACTAAGTCTTTGACAGGCTCAAAAATATGAGCTTGTTCATTGTGATGAGCAAGTGCTCTAAATATTGACTGTAAAACCTAAGTATTTATTTTCAAAATATATAAGTGAGACTGAGTCTTACCAAGGCACTTTGTTTGTCAAATGTTGATATGATGGCCACTTTCTGCCAATCAAAGTGATCCAATAGCTTACTTAAAACAACACTGTAATACTCATCATTTGGAATTGTAGTGTGAAAATAAGGATATCTTCTATTGTTGTCAAGTAGCACACTAGTCACTGAATAAGAAATCTAAAGTGTAAAAGTATACAATTATATTATTTTTGATAACTGTTCAATACCTGTAATGTACTCAAATAATGTCCAAAAATATAAGCAAACATTTTAGCACTTTCAGGATGGTAAGGTCCAATAACACCATGAATAGGCTGATTGTTGTGCTCATTATATAGAAACTCAATTAGTTTAGTTGTTTCCTACAAATGTCAATATTTTGGAATTCCAATTCAAATTCTCCTGGCTAGCTGCCTTAAAGGGACACGTTCACGGAAATAGAATGCACACGTTACTGTAGAGGAAGTAAACATTAAATTGGCCAATTGGGCGTGCAACAGATCATTAATTAATAGTTATGACACGTGTTTAGACACGCGTAGAGAGTAGAGACAGAGCAATCAG